GACCCTCTTAAGCGCAATCCCAGCACCCTTCCTGGGCGTGGGGATGGGGAGCATCTCAGCAGCTTCCTCAGAAGCCCCAGAGCAGTGCCCAGCAACTCACTGAAATGGGTCCCCACAGCATGACCCTCTTCTCCACTGTTCAGACCCTAGATGACCAGAGGAGGTGTCACTTGCCGCTGTCAAGCCCCTTAGAAGGTCCCAGTCAACAGTGGTGGGAGCAGGAGAGGCTGCTGGACTCCAGCCTTGGTTCTAAGCCTGGAGGTACAGGCAGGGGGTTGAGGGGCTGCAGGGACAGCCGGCTTCCCCCTGCCCAGCACATGCTGAAGGTATGGGGGAGGAGGGGAGGTAGGAATCCAAGCCACTGTCCAGCCCATGTGACCAACACATCCTCTCCCCGCTCTCCAGTGGTGCTCGATGTGGTGTCTTCCTGGGCCTCTACTTCCCAGAGGCTCCCACGGAGGTGTGGCCGTCTGGGAGGGGGAGGGCCCTGGCCAAGGCCCAGAGGGCAGTGCCAGGCCTGTAAACAGTTTTATAGCCCACAGGCAGGCAGAGCTGGCAGGGCGGGGTGGGGCAGGCTGGGGCTGGACTGGGAGGCCCAGTTAGCTGATTTCCCTCCCACTCCCAGCTCAGCATCTCTGGGTGTGAAATGCACCCCCAAAGGGCCACAGGGAGGAGTTGGTGTTCAACAGGGCCTGGCATGTACTCCAGCTACTGATGTGTGTGAATGTGAGAGCCAGAAAGAGCACCAGAGACAGACAGACAGACAGACAGACAGACATCACCTCCCTGGGGCGTAACATACCCTCCCCCCCCCAGGCCATCAAGGGAGTGAGTGAATGGCCCAGCCAGTTGACTAGGTAGAAGGGGGTGCTGTCTTGCCCTATGGGTAGCGTCAGATGTTTTAACTGACACTTCATGTTCCTGCCGAAAAAACGCCTCCTACCAGACCGCTGGCAGCTCATACCTGTCATTCCAACTAAGGATGGTGATTTGAAGTCAGCCCAGGCAGGAAAGTCTGTGAGACTCGTCTCCAAGTAACCACCAAAAAGCTGCAAGTGGAGCTGTGGCTCAAGTGGTGGAGCACTAGCTTTGAGTGGAAAAAGCTAAGCAAGAGCACAAGGTCCTGAGTTCAAGTCCAGGGATGGGCTCCTGGTAGCATTATTGCTGGATGAAGGTAGAGATCTCAGGCCCCTCAAAGGCCTGGAAGCCTTAGTGAGCCCCTTCCTTGTGGTAGGCCCCAGTGTCTGCCCTTTCTGAGTCCCCAGGTCAGCACAACAAGTAATGCTTCCTAGCTCATTGAGATTCAGTCACAAAAGGCTCACAGCCAGTTGCCAGAGCCACCCCAACATGTGACCACGGCAGCTGCCACTTTGTGGCCAACCCATGTCCCAGGCAAGAGCCTGGGGTAGGCCATTCAGAGAGCACAGTGAAGCAGACTTCAGGGGTCCTCGACCTCAAGCAACAGAAAAGCCATACTCCAGCAGAGTCAGAAGTCCTCACTGCAAAAGCCATACAGTCACCTGATCAGGGTGCTTGTACCACAATGTGGTGTGAGGACATCATGCAATTGCAAACCAGACCAGGGCTCCAGGCAGAGGAGGGGAGCAACGGGGCTCCTCCCAGGCTGGATGTGCTGAACAGTGGCCTTGAGTTGGCGTCACAGTGTCCAAGGATGGTGGCTGCCTAGGCCCATATTCATGGTTTTGGTTTTTGTTTTGTGCTGGTACAATATGGAGCTTGAACTCAGTGCCTGAGTACTAGTGTGTGTGTGTGTGTGTGTGTGTGTGTGTGTGTGTGTGTGTGTATGCATACATACATATGTATGTATATGTATATAGCTCAAGGCTGTCACTCTAACTTGTATCATAGCTCCATTTCCAGCTTTTGGGTGGTTAATTGGCCATAAGAGTCTCAAGGACTTTCCTGCCCAGGTTGGCTTCAAACTGAGAGCCTCTTATTTTAGCCTTCTGAGTAGCTAACATAACAGGAGTGAGCCACAAGCACTTGGCTTAATTCATAGGTTTGGATAGAGCTGGAAGGCCCAGCTACAAGTAAGGTAGGTCTATATTATACTCTGACTTCCTTTTACTTCACACAATCTCAATTTGTGCTTCATCGATGAGGCTACTGAGGCTCAAAGAAGTTAATGAACTTGGCATATGCCACACAGCCAAAAAGAACTAAGATCAGAAACAAGGCATGATGCCACCTGCCTGTAATCCCAGCAATCAGGAAGCTGAAGCAAGAGGACCTTGAGTTGCAAGCCAGCCCAAGCTCCATAACAAGAGAATCAGAAGTTGAGACGTTAGGGAAGCTTTTGTTCTAGGCTTCAACCAGCCCTGCTTGATGTATGCATAGTCAGTTGGCAGTTGCTAGTTTCCATGCCAAGAGAATTCCTGAAGGGTTGGGGGCATGGCTCAGTTGGTTGAACACAAGCTAGTGAGCAAAAAGTGTTAGGTACTAGGGCTGGGAAGGTGGCTCAGTGGTAGAGTGCTTGCCTTGCATGCATGAGGCTCTGGGTTCAATTCCTCAGCACCACATAAGCAGAAAAAGCCGGAAGTGGTGCTGTGGCTCAAGTGGTAGAGTGCTCACCTTGAGCTAAGAGCTGAAGGACAGCGCCCAGGCCCAGAGTCAGGCCCCACAAAGGACCAAAAAAAAAAAAAAAAAAAGTGTTAGGTACTGAGCTTGAGTCCCAAAGAGGAAGAGTTCCTGAAAGGCACTAGCCTGACTTTTCCAACTGCAGGAGTAGAAAGGAGGTTGGTCCAAGGAGGCTGACAAAGGAGGCCGCTGGTCTAAGAGGAAGAATGCCGGTCTCTGTAGTGGAAGAAGGCCCGGCACAGGGTCAAAACCCTGCTTGGATCAACAAGGTTGGAGAGGAAGTGACCTCCCTGGCTGACTACAAGTACCAAATATGGATTCTCATGTCCAGCACATACATATAAGGCCTGACTTCGTTAAGTAATTTCCATCTACGGGAACTGAGCTCAGAGACAGTGCCCAAGTTCAAGCCCCATGACTGACAAAAAAAAGAACAAATAAAAAAGAAAACCCATAGATCAAGTGGGCTAGAGCTGGAAGAGGAGTCAGACATTGGGGACGGGGCCTCTACTTTGGACACTCTACGAGTCAGGAAGCATTAGTGTGGCTGGGGTCAGGGAAGAAGGTGTGAGGAGAACACAGAACTGCTTTCTAGCTGAGGCACCTTGATGGCCCTGGAGGCCCCCCCATGGCAGGCACTGGGTACCACAGACATGAACTCACCGCCCCTCCCTGGAGTGGGGGCTCTGGGCCTACGCAGTTGGGGGGCTTCCTGTCTCCCCAGCAAGGCAGGGAATTGCCTGACCTCAAAGTGACTCACAGGGTGATTCAGCTGAGCCGGGAGGAGGGGGAGACGAGGACTGTCCACTGTCTGGAGAGGCAGCCAAGGCCACTGTCCCAGCCGGGCTTGTGGGTGGGGTCCAGCCCAGGCACTTGCCAAGGATGACCTCATCTTGCCATGCCACTTGAATGGTCCTTACATCCATTGTAGACCTGTGAACCAGGCTGAGCACATTCAAACCAGGGCCCACAGGCACAGCCCCAGGTAAAGCGCCTGTGCTTACAGCAGCCCACAGGATCCTGCAGCCTCAACCTCCATGGGCTTGGAAACTTGGGTACCTGTCTAATGGCTAAGAATAAATGTAACCAAAAAAGCAGAAGATCTTTAGAGCAAAAACTATAAAAATCTTAAGAAAGAAATCCAAAATCCCAGGTGCTGGGAGCTCACACCTATAATCCTAGCTACTTTGGAGGAGGCTGAGGTCTGATGATCTTGGTTCAGAGCCAGCTGAGTCATGAAAGTCTGTGAGACTCTTATCTCCAATTACAGAACCGGAAGTGGAGCCATGGCTCAAAGTGGTACAGTGCTAGCCTTAAGCAAAAAGAGTTCAAGGGACAGCACTCAGGCCCTGAGTTCAAGCCCCATGATCAACAACAACAGGAAAGTCCATGAGATCCTTATCTCCAATTAACCAGCAAAAAGCTGCAAGTGAAGCTCTGGCTCAAGTGGTAGAGTACCAGCCTTGGCTGCAAAAGCAAATGGTCAGGGGCCAGGTCCTGAGTTCAAGCCCTAGTACTGGTATACACAAAATAACTTGAAATAAGCTTTTGGATATGTGTGATTCTGGAACATGGACAAGCAGGGGCAGGGAGGTCACCTGCAGGTGGAAGGTGACCATGATTATACCACACAGAGCCTAGATGACAGGCTTACAAAATGGTTAAAATGCACAGCGTGGTGCCCATGGCTTACACCTGTCATCCTAGCAACTTGGGAGGCTGAGATCTGAGGATCTGGGCTGGAAACCAGACCATGAAGACAAATCGTGAAGATTTGGTCTCCCATTAACCAGCAAACATCTGGACTGGAGGCGTGGCTCAAGTGGTAATGATGCATAAGTGAAAAAGTTGAGTGGGAACGTGGCTTAGTGGTAGAGTGCTTGCTTCGCATGCATGAAGCCCTGGGTTTGATTCCTCAGCACCACATACACAAAAAAGCCAGAAGTGGCGCTGTGGCTCAAGTGGTAGAGTGCTAGCCCTGAGCAAAAGAAGCTCAGGGACAGTGCCCAGGCTCTGAGTTCAAGCCCCAGGACTGAGGAAAAGGAGAGAGGAGGGGAGGGGAGGGGAAAGGAGGAGAGAGGGAAGGGAAAAAGCTGAGCCAGAGCATAAGGCCCTGAGTTCAGGCTCTAGTACCAGCACAAAAGAAAAAGGAAACAACCTTATTCACAACAGATTTCAGACCAAGACACCCTCCCTTCCCCCGAAAAAATTGGCAAAGAGGCTCTTCATTGCAGGTTTTATGGCTCATGCAGCACTTGGGGACATAAATAAGAGTAAGGCGAGCAGGTCCACAGGGCCCAGAGTCCACTGGTGCAGGCAGGGCAGGGAGGGACAGATGCCTTCCTGGACAGGCATGTCATGTCACGGGCGAGCGGGGGGGGGGGGGGGGGGAGGAGGGGGACAATAAGTTGTTTTATTGTGTGTCTATTACCCAGAGGCAGCGTGGGCAGCTCCAGGTACCCATGAGGTACAAACTGGGGGTACAAAACTGGGGGTACAATTGAGGTTCCAGCTGGCTCGTGAGGGCTGAGGGATGTGGGGCACAAGGTTGGATTCTCTTCCAGAGATTTGAACAAGACACACAGGCTTCGCTGGGGCTGGGACCTGGGGTTCACAGGGCTAACTATGGGGACTGGCTTAGAAGGGTTCCTTCAGCTTTATCCAGAATCTTCTTGACACCTCTCCTCTCCCTTCAAGGGCCCCCACAGGCTACTGACAGAGAAATGGAACCTGACATTGTCCCGTGTCCTCTGTGCACGCCAGGGCTTGGCAGGTCCCAACCCCATCTGTGAGGGGATCAGGGAGCCCTGACAATTATCCCAACCCAGCTGGGGACCTGCTTTCCATGAGGGGTAAGGACCAGCCACTGTCCTTGCCCGCCTCCTTCTCCATTGTTCTCCTGTACACGTGACACTGGTCCGTAAGTCAGGAGTCAGAACCCATCTGGCTCCTCTGAGGACCCCTGGGGATGCGGGAGTGATGGATGGGGCCCTCTTCCTGAATGTCCTTTTGGGGATACACCCATTCCACAATCAGTTCACACAGCCTCAAGAACAGCTCCAAGGCTCAGCTAAAAGGGAGGGAGGGAGGGAAGAAGAAGGGGAGGCTGACCCAGGGGACTCCTCAGTCTGGAGGTACATCATTCTGCTTGTTTTTGCAATGCACAGGTGATGATTGAGTCCCGAGGAAGGGGAGGTTCCATGCCAAGATGCCCTAGCCCCACCCAATAGCCTTGCAGAGCAACTCCGAGGCTGGGATGCAAGGAGGGTGCCAAAGGTGCTGGCACAACTCAGACGGTGAGGGAGATGAAGCTGTTGTAGCGCTGGATGTTTCTTTTGAGAATCTCTGAGCAGGGACCCAGCACGCGCTCGAAGCGGGGCCTGTCCAGCTTGACACACTTCAGGGGTCCGCGGGCCACCACGGTGGCTGCACGAGGCCGGTTCAGCAGCAGGGCAATCTCACCTGGAGGAAGAATCAAGCTGGGTCAGGGACCAGTTGGAGAGGCCTTGTGCCCAGGATGGACAAAATCCACCACAGAGGGGCACCAGGGAAATCTAAATTTCAGATCCACGTACAAAAAAAGCTGGGTGCTGGTAGCTGACACCCGTAATCCTAGCTACTCAACAGGCTGAGATCTGGGAATCATGATTCAAAGCCAGCCTAGGCAGGAAAGTTCTCAAGACTCCTATCTTTAATTAACCAGCAAAAAAAAAAACTGTGCTGGAGGTATGGTTCAAATGGTAAAGCACTAGCCTTGAGTAAAAAAGCCCAATGAGAATGTGAGGTCCTAGGTTCAAGCCCCAGTAGTGGCACACACATAAAAAAAAAAAATCCAGGGCTGGAAATGTGGTTAGTGGTAGAGTGCTTGCCTAGCATGCATGAAGCCCTGGGTTCCATCCTCAGTACCACATAAACAGAAAATTCCAGAAGTAGTGCTGTGGCTGTGCTCAGGCCCTGAGCTCAAGCCCCAAGACTGGCTAAAAAAAAAAAATCCACACACACACAAAATTAATACAAATACATCCTGTGCAATATGTATATAAACTGAAAGATTATTTTTGCTTGTTTGGTTGGGTTTTTCCCTTTGTGTCATTACTGGGGCTTGAACTCAGCACCTGGGTACAATCTCTTAGCGTTTTCATTCAAAGCTGGTGCTCTACTACTTGAACCACAGCTCCACTTCCAACTTTGGAAGTAAACTAGAAATAAGTCATAGACTTTCCTGCCTGGACTGGTTTCAAACTATGATTCTCAGATCTCAGCCTCCTGAGTAGCTAGGATTACAGGATTGAGCCCGGGCACTTGGATGACTTTTTTTTTTTTCTTTTCCAGTCCTAGGGTTTAAACTCAGGGCCTGGGCACTGTCTCTGAGCTTCTTTTGCTCAAGGCTAGCACTCTACTATTTGAGCCACAGCACCACTTCCACAGCCTTTTCTGTGTATGTGGTACTGAGGAATCGAACCCAGGGTTTCATGCTTGCTAGGCAAGCACTCTACCACTAGGCCACATTCCCAGCCCTGATTATTTCTTGCTTTTCTGAAAATTGTCCTGCCAGACCTCATAGGCAGCAGGTACTGCGGTGTGGGACACCCCTTTAGGCACCATGGATGGGCCCTGGATCTCGACTGGAGGTAGCCCCATTGAAGGTCTTCCTGGTGCTCTTCTCACCCTGGGGGGCCCACCATGAGGCCTAAGGAACCCTCTACAACTCCCCACCCAGAGCCTGAAGGAGATGCAGCCTGAGGAGGCCCAGACTCACCAAAGTAATCCGAGGGCCCCAGACGTCCCACCTCCACATACTCCTCGTTGGGGGACCGGCGCTGGAGGACTGAAGCGGTGCCCTGTGGGAGGGGACACGAGAGGTCAGTGGGGTGCGGGGGACAGACATGGGGGGGCTCTGCATGGGGAGAAGCTCCTTTCCTTTGTGGCTGCAGAAACCTTCATTGCTCCTTTGTGTCTCTCCTCTCCCTAGATGCCCTGGGCCTCCAAGTCTGAGCATCTGGGTGCCATAGAGAGCTGGCCACCAAGCTCTCCCGCAGATCCCAACCTGGCCAAGCACCCCATTTCCACACACACACACACGCAGCCCCAGTAACGGGGTTCACTCAGTGCCCAGCATGTTTGCTGAGGTGGCCATCTGACTCTGGAAGTTGGGGGCAGGGGTCACAAATGCTTGCGGCTGACCTTGAATCAGGCTCAAGGTCAGGGAGCCCAGAGAGGGAGAGGAGCTCAGTCTCAGGGTCACACACCTGCTCAGCCATGGCCCCTCCTGACTCCCCAACAGGGGCTCGGGGTCTGCAGACGGCGCCTGAGTCAATGATTAGCTGAGAGGCTGTGGGCAGAATATCACAGGCCACCACAAATGGGATAAATACTACAGACACTTGGGGCTGTCTGGGCGGCTAAATGCCTCTCACGCTCACGTCCCTGCTGCCTCAGGGGGAGTTTGGGTTCCAGCCCACAGGGTCCCCCCCAGATCCCTGCCTTCCTGTCTGAGCCAGCGTCCTGCCTGTCACCTTCATGCTAGGGAAGACAGAGACTGGCTCTCTATGCTGCTTTTGACACTGAACCCCAACAGTTGTGTGAGGCCAATCTTAGGGAGCCCCTCAAGCGCTGCCCAGTTTCTAGTCCCCAAGACAAGGCCCATTGCGCATCCAGAGAATCACCTGTCCCAGAGTGGCAGGAGAGGTCGGGGACCTCCCAGAATTCGGGTTCCCAGAGTCACCTATGCATGCCCGGACATCGCCTCAGAACCACTGGCGGGGCGTGAGCTGTAATTCATTACAAGGTGGGCTCTTCATCCCGCTCCCAGGACCAGCCTCGTCAGCACCAGAGCCAGGCTGTGCCCAGCTTAATGAGTAACCCTCGTCTCTCCACAGTCTGGAACAGACGGGTTGGTCTTGGGGTGCAGCCTCCACCCAGGTCCCCTTGTGCTACATGACTCCCAGACCTTTGTGTGTTTATAAATTAGGTTGATGGATGGACCAGGACGGGACATGTAAACATTGCCCGCTCCACCAAGTCGCCAAGGGTAGCACGGAGGGAGACAAGGGGGTACCTTCACCCCCAGAACACTGGGAGAGGGGGAATGGCCCCATCCACCCACATAGAGCTCCCTCTTCCCCCACATCTGGGTTGAGACAGGTCCTGTGTACAGCCCCAAGCTCCCCAGTCTGGGGCAGGGACTGACCTCTGTGCTCCCCAAGAAGGGACTCCAGGCAGGTGCTGTGAATTTGGGCATCTTTATTTATTTTTGGTGCTGGTCCTGGGGCTTGAACTCAGGCCTGGGTTCCTCTGTCTCTGAATTTTATTGCTCAAAGCTAACACTCTACCACTTGAGCTACAGTTCCACTTCTGGGTGTTTTTGTTTTGTTTTGTTTTAACTAGAGATAAAAGTCTCGGCTGGGAAGTTGGCTCAGAGGTAGAGTGCTTAACCTCACATGCATGAGGCCCTGAGTTCGATTCCTCAGCACCACATAAACAGAAAAAAAGCCAGAAGTGGCACTGTGGCTCAAGTGGTAGAGTGCTAGCCTTGAGCTGAAGAGCTGAGGGACAGCGCCCAGGCCCAGAGTTCAGCCCTACAACTGACAAAAAAAAAAAAACAAAAGACAAAAACAAAAAGTCTCTTGGCCTTTGCTATCCAGGTTGGCTCTGAACCATGATCCTCAGACGTCAGCTTCCTGAGTAGCTAGGATGTCAGGCTGAGCTGCCAGCTGTCCATTCGGAACAGGGGCTTGTAAGGCAGGCAGTGGCTGTCCCTGTTCTGGAATGGACCATCCAGGGTCAGAATTCTCATTGCCAGGGCCCCCACCATGTGGTCAAAACTCCCCAGGAAGCTCCAACCAGAGACTAGCCAGCATCTCCCACCACAGAGAGCTGGAAAAAATGCTCCTGTCCAAGCTCCCTGTCCCCAGCTGCCATGGAAACAGGCAGAACCTGGGAAGCTGCAGAGCCAAAGCTCAGGACTGGAAAAACACCCTTGCAAAAGATCTGCTTCCCATTCTCCCATTTCTCACCAGAGCCTAAACTTGGTCTAAAGTAAACCAGGTCAAAGCTCCCCAAAGACAGCCCAAAGGACACTTAACAAATGTTACCCCCAGGTGCCTGTGATGGATGGGTGGGAGTAAGGATGACCATTTCCTCTAATTGTTTTGATTAATTTTTTTTTTTTTCTGCATGAGCCGGGCACCAGTGGCTCACAACTACAATCCTAGTTAACTCAAGAAGGCTGAGATCCAGAGGATTGCCATTCAAAGTCAACCTGGGCTAAGAAGTTCGAGAGACTCCATTTCCAAAATAACCAGCTAAAAGCCAGGCTGGAGGTATGGCTCAGGTGGTAAAGTGCCAGTTGAACAAGCATGATATCCTGAGTTTAAAACCCCAGTAATGGTGGAGGAATAAATTAAGGGAGTCTGACCTTTAAGCCACATCTCTAGCCTTGCTTGTTGCTAGTTAATTGGAGATGGGAGTCTTTCTAACTTTTTTGTCTGGATTGTCTTTGAACCATGATCTCTCCAATCTCAGTTTCTTTGCGTAGTTAGGATTGCAGGTGTGAGCTACCACAGACAGTTTTGTCATTTTCATAAGCTAGGTTTCTCTATGTAGCCTGGAATTGGAGATCTTCCTGCCACCACCTCTCAAGTGCTAGCAGTACAGGTGTATGCCACCATACTTGGAGCCTTTTATTTATGTTTTTTCTGCTTATGTGGTGCTGAGGAATCGAACCCAGGGCCTCATGCATGCAAGGCAAGCGCTCTACCACTGAGCCACCTTCCCAGCTCGAGCCTTTTATTTTTTAAACAGTCTCACTAGGTAGGTCAAGCTGGCCTGAAGTTCACAATCCTGCCACCTCAGCTTCCTTAGTGTTAGAACTACAGGCGTAACCACCACATCTGGCTCACTTTCTGAAGCTTTGAAGAAAGCAATCATTACAACTAAAACTAATTTGTACACATCAGGCAATTTCAACTCGTTTACTCCATGCAAATCCAGTTTCTACACCCTATGAAAGCGGCTCTTCCCAGAGCTTCCTAAGGACATACTAGAAACATCTTGGGTGGGGCTAGAAAAATGGCTTCTGGTATCTGTTTAGGGGGCCAAACTCCTGTCTGCTGTGGTGCCTAGCTCTTCCCGGCTGTTCCACAACCTGGCTGCAGAATCCTTACCACAACTGGACAGCCTCCCCCGCCTCCCCCCCCCCCCCCACTGGTGGGTGACCAAGGTCAGCTTTAATGGCTGGTCCGTGAGTTCTGTGCCCTGGGGGAGGCGCAGCCCAGTGGCTTCCGTGGGAAAGCAGAACATTCCTGGGGATTCCTGCACCAGGGCTCCCAGGAGGGGCCCGGGGAGCCAGCCTGGAGCTGTCAGCCCCTGCCTCCTGCAGGGACTCCCCCAGGCCAGCCTGCCCTCAGTGGACATACAGCAGTTGGGGCGGGGACAGACCTCAAGAATCAGGGACTTGATGTTAGGGGGTGGGAATAGGGAGCCCATAGGCCACGCCCTGCTATGGTCACAACTCCTCTCTGCCGCAGCTCAGTTTCCCCCCCTGTCATCTTCTGGGGAAAGCTGGCCACACAGGGACCCCAAGCAAGAGTACAGGAGCCCCAGACAGGGGCTCAGCCCTGTGGCTTTGCCTCTGGGGGTGGGGGTGGGGTGGAGACTTGGTTGTCTGCTTATTATGGCTCTTCCTGGGGCCCAGCAGCCTGAGGTCTAGAGTGGGGCTCCAGCACCTGCTTCTGGACAGACATCAAAGCTCACTTGTTGACTGATTGACAGATGGCCAGCAGGACCCCCATTCCTGGCTGATGATACCCTACCAAGGGACCTCCATCTGGTGGCACCCCAATGATGGACCCCCAGGATGATAGCTCCTCCACTTCTGGTGGGTGGCCACACTCTTTCTGCCTGCAGGGTCATTCCTGGGCCTCCGCCTGCACACATACACACCCCAAAGCCTCAGTGTCAGCAGAGGGGCCAGGGTGGGTGGCTCTGCCAGGCAGTCAGGAAGCTTCTAGAAGTAACACACAAAATTATCAGGATGAGCCTGTGGGTACCTCTCCTCCAAGTATCCCAGCTTGGAACCAGCTCCGCAGCCCCCTGATACCTCTGTCCTCTATATAGCTCAACCATGGCCAGGAGGCAAAGATTAGGAAGCTCACCGTTCCAGGCCAGTCTAGGCAAAAAGCAAGACCCCATCACAACCAATAAGCTAGACATAGTAGTGCTCATCCCTCATCCCAGTTACTTGGGAGGCATGCACAGAAGGACTGAGGTCCAGGCCCAGGCAAAAACATAAGACTTGATCCAAAAAGTAACTAAAGCTCATGTGTAGAGCACGTGCCTAGGAAGCACAAAGCCTTGAGTTCAAACTCCAGCACTGCCAAAAAGGAAGGAAGGAAAGAGGGAAGGAAGGAAGGAAGGAAGGAAGGAAGGAAGGAAGGAAGGAAGGAAGGAAGGAAGGAAGGAAGGAAGGAAAGAAGGAAGGAAGGAAGGAAGGAAGGAAGGAAGGAAGGAAGGAAAAGAAATGCTTAAAGTGATGTCTTACTGTCAAACACATTGCCTTGAACTTTATTTTTCCAGGTACCAGAGTTTGAACTTGGCCTTGTTGCCTCACCTCCAACTTGGCTTTTTTCCTTCCTTTCTTCCTTCCTTCCTTCCTTCCTTCCTTCCTTCCTTCCTTCCTTCCTTTTGTACAGGTACTGGGGCTTGAACTCAGAACCTTGAGCTCTTTTGCTTAAGGCTAGCACTCCACCACTTGAGCCACATGACCACTTCTGCCTTCTTGCTAATTGAAGATCAGAGTCTCATGGGCTTTCCTTCCCAGGCTGGCTTCAAACCACAATCTCAACCTCCTGGGTAGATAGGGTTATAGACATAGCCACCAGCACCCTGCCGACCTTGAACAGACCCCCTCCCAGCACCCCCGGGCCAGTAGGGAGAGCCATAGAGGGGGTTACACACCAACATAAAGCTTTATCCCACTGCCTGGGCCCATGGCCCCCTTGGTCAGCCCAGTGCTGGGTCAGCCCAGTGCTGGGTCAGCAGGATTGGCGAGCCTGCAAATCGATTTGTCCGGAACTGTGCAACGGTTAGGGTGTTCCCACCACATCTCTCCCCTGCACGGTATTTAAGGTTCCTCTCTGCAGGGCCAGGAGTCACTGCTGGGGAATCTGGGACGCTGGAATATAGCAGATACTTTCCACATCTGTCTCATCTGGAATGTGTGCACAGCATGGCAAAACGGGTAAGAAATGGGATCCCAGGCCGAGGGGGTCCTGAAGAGTTGGGGAATGAGGAAGAAGACCATTTTTTCCATACTTGTTTGCAGGATACTGTTACACTGTTGGTTTTTTTTTCACCACTTCTCAGTTTTCTTTCTTTTTTTCCCTCCCCCCTCCCTCTACCCTCCCCCCTTTCTTTCTGTCATAGGGCTTGAACTCAGTGCCTGGGCGCTGTCTCTGAGCTCTTCTGCTCACGATGAGCACTCTACCACTTCAAGCCATAGCTCCACTTCTAGTTTTCTGGTTGTTAATTGGAGACAAGAGTCTCCAGTTAACTTTCCTGCCCAGGCTGGCTTCGAATTGTGATCCTCAAAATCTCAGCCTCCTGAGCAGGTAGGATTACAGGTGGGATCCTTAGGCATCTGGTTCTCTCTCTGGGCTTTGAACAATCTCTGGTGGCAGGCCGGAGCGTTCCCAGGCCCCAGGGTAGCTGTGGATGTTGCGGACATTCATAAAATTAATTTCCTAAGCAAGGAGATAATCCACCCCTGTGTTCCCATGGCAACGCCTCCCAGGCCTCTTGGCTGGGAGTGAGCTGGGGATTTTATGGGGAACCGGTTCTCAGGGGTCCAGCTGCCTGCAGGCTGCCTGGAGGGCTCAGGCAGAGCCTGGAAATGTGCATGTGCCGACTCGAATGGAGGAATGTTCAGCAGAACACGAGCCCCCGAGCCCCTGGCTCCCCACCCAGCCCCTGCCCAAACCCTCCTCCATTTTCCTGGACAGAGGCAGAGACAGGAGACGTGAACGCTGATGAGGTCTTGGAACAGCTGGCAGTCCCAGCTTCTGGGTCCTGGTACGGCCCAGCACAGGGGCTGCCTTGTCCCCGCCAGGCCCCCTGTACCTCCCCCAGAGAGGGGAGCCAAGCTGGTGTCCTGCTGCAGGAGGGTCCACCCTGTTGCAGTCCCCTGGGGTGACACTTAAATGGGGGATGCAGCTCTGCCTTCTGGAATGCCATGAGTTTGGCTCCTGGGCCCAATGGATGGTGTGAAGTCTGGGTGGATTTTTTCACATGCGGTGGAAATCAGCTCTGAAAACATCTTCCAGTAAAGCCTAAGCAGGAAATCACCCCCAAATCCTGTGGCTTCCATGACCCAAGGGTGGGGGGAGGGAGGAAGGGAGGGAGGAAGGGAGGACAAGACTTGTGCAGAGGACCTGGCTGTGCATTCTGGATCTCCAGGATGAGAATGTCTGCAACCTGCCAAGGGCACAAAACATCTAAAGAAATCCACACTGGGGTAGGGGGGTGGGGGGGGGGGGGAATGTCACAACTAAAAGAGTGTGAGGCGGGGCTGCCAGACAGAGGGACGAGGTGGCCCAACAGCGAGAAAACAAACAGGTTTCAAGGGCAGCCTGGAAGAAGGCAAGTGTAAGCCAGGCTCATACCGCTCAGCTGGGCGCTCTGGGGTGGGCACTGGGTGCCTCCCACTGCATCTGGCTCAGGTGTGGCCAGGTTGGCTCACACCATGTGGCCCACAGTGGCCGGAAACTGGTAACTTAGAATTGACTAAACATCGGGAGATCGTAGTGGGGGGGTGGGGATCCACATTATTAAGGAGACAGCTTCAAACATATTTTGCAGGATTGGGGCATGGCTTAAGGGGTAGAGGCGCCTGCCTGGCAAGTGTGAAGCTCTGAGTTCAAACCGCCAGGACAGACAAACACATCTTACAAGTCTGTAAAACACCCACACTTATTCTAGGATTAGGTTGCATGCCAGATACCTGGGCAGTATGGAATTTATGAGATCAAGTCCCACCTTGTCCCTTTGCCCCACCACAAGGGACAACGAGGGCATAATCCTGACAGTGCTGATGTCATGCTCAGAAGCACGATGAACCCCATCACTCATGACCTTTTAGAAATGTCTTTGTACAGCCTAAGTTCCTGGGATGGGGTGATTGCAGTCCAGCCCCATCTCCTGGGAATCCCACAGGGCAGATGGCAGCCACCCACCCATGGTGGGGGAGGAAGGGCTGGTCAGTCCCTGGGGCTCGGAGGTCAAAGAGCTCCATGAGGTGAGCTCTCACACATACCTCAAGGAGGGGAAGCCAAGGAGGGCCAGGGAGAAGCGCAGGAGGAGCTAGGATGGGATGAGCCCCTTGCGCCTGCAGAAGACGTGCGAGATGCCTTGCCCTAAGTCTGCCCCTGGTGCCTGTCCTGTGTCCTGGGCAAACAACAACTTACATCTGCACTCATGGCCTGGTGTGGCCGCAGTGGAGCACCTGGCACAGCTGGGTGTGAATCAAATCCACCGCAGACCTGGAGGACTGGGAGTTTAGTGTGGGCTGAATTCTGCAGTGGGGTTTGTGATGGCCTAAGCCACCTTCCTCCGTATTCTTGTGTGCGTGTCACATGGTGGGGGGGGGGAGGGGGAGAGATGGGGAGGGGGAGGGGGTGTGTACTGGGACTTGAACTTAGAACCTGGGCAGTTTTCTCACTCAAACTCTACCTCTTGAGCCATGGTTCCACCTCCAGTTTTTGTTTTTGGAGGTGGGGGGTTGTTCACTGGAGATAAGTCTCATGGACTTTCCTGCTGGGGCTGGCATTGAATCATGATCCTCGGATCTCAGCCTCCTCACTAGCTGGGATTACAGGCGTGAGCCACCAGCACCTGGCCCTGGACTATGCTTGATCTCGAGGAAGGGGTATGTTCTATCAGGGGTGTGAGGCCGTCATCCTGCCCACACCATGTGGAATGGGGGCAGAGGACCTGGGAGTGAGAGGGAGGCATCAGGCAGGGGATCAGGGAGGCGGCTCCCCCAGTGGCACCTGCACTCACCGTGGTGCCTGGAGAGCCCCGAGCACTGCCTTCTGTGCAGGACTCACCTCCGTGATGATGTAGAAGTCATCGCCCGCCTCCCCCTGGACCACAATCTTCTCTCCATCTTCAAACTGCACAGGCTCCAGGGCATCAGCCACCGTTAGCCGCTCCCACTTCTCCAGGGACTCTGCCGAAGAGGACAGGGGTTCATAGAACTCGAGGAGGGAGTCTGCCACTCCACTCTGCTAGAAGGCACCCTCAGAAAACCCGCACTCCCGCGCTAGAGATCAGAGTCACAGACTTTTCTGTTCAGACTGGCTTTGAACCGCAATCTAGGATTACAGGTGTGAGCCAGCAGCACCTGGCTAATTCTCTCTCTCTCTCTCTCTCTCTCTCTCTCTCTCTCTCTCTCTCTCTCTCCCCCCTTTTTTCCTTTTTTTTTTCAGTAAGAGAAACCTTTCTAGCCTACGCTTAGGATACTACCTAAGTAGGTCAGCTGCTAAAAATAGAAAAGTCATCTATTTTAGATCTAGGTTAGTAGGGGGGTTCTGTCCCTAAAATCTGGGAGATTTTTTTCACACTTCCTGTTGACCCCAGATGTCAACGTCCTGCTGTGTGGTATGCATAGCAAGCTGTTCCAGCTATACCCCCGGACCAGTTTTGTTGTTTTTGTTTGTTTGTTTGCTGTTGTTTTGTGGCAGTACAATCCTAAAGCCTGAACTACAAGGGTGCTGTCCTTGAGTTTCTTTGCCCAAAGCTGGTGCTCTACTATTTGGGTTACAGCTCCACTTCAGGTTCGGCAGTTAATTGGAGATGAGTCTCACAGACTTTCCTACCTGCGTGGCTTGTAACTTCAGTGCTCTGATATCAGCCTCCTGAGTAGCTAGGATTGCAGGTGTGATGACCAGAATCTCTCTGGTAGCCCAGGCTGGTCAGCCTCTCCAGTGCTGGGATTGCCAGCATATAGCTTTAAACCATATTTCTTAAAACTGATGGTAGGGTCCATTTCATATTATGAGTTATCTCATCACAAAGGGAAATAAAAAAAGCTCACATTTTTACCTCTACATTTCACAAGAGGATTCAAAGCAGACATGGGCGCGCGCGCGCGCACACACACACACACACACACACACACACACACACACACACACACACACACACACACACACACACACACACACACACACCCCTCTGGTCCCTCCAAGTATGAAATAGGTGGTGCTGAGCATGACAGGCATGGAGTGGGCCAGGCCCCTCATGTACAGAGCGAGTTCTACACCATCCTCCCACAACATTGCTGAGCAGGCTGACCTACATGCAGGAGGCTGGGACACACCTGTGACCCCTACTGACCCCTGCCACTCCAGAAGGACAGAGTCTGAAGGCACCATCAGGAGGATGAGATGTTACCAGAAGAGCCATTCTTCCAGTGAGCCCAAAGGGCAGGGTTTGCTGGGCACTGGTGGCTACGCCTGTAATCCTACCTACACAGGAGGCTGGGATCTGAGAATCGTGGTTCAAAGCCAGCCCAGGCAGGAAAGTCTGTGAGACACTTATCTCCAATAAACCACCAGAAAGCTGGACATGGATACCAGAAAGCATGGTGGCTCAAGTGGTAGAGCGCTCACCTTGAGCTGAAGAGCTGAAGGACAGCACCCAGGCCCAGAGTTCAAGCCCCACAACCGACAAAAACAAAAAACAAAAAAATACAGGGCAGGGCTGAGGCCCAGGAGAGTGGCCAACTGCTGGGCATCACTGGGCGGGGGAGGGGAACTGAACCAGCACCGCAGGGGGGGTGGGGAGGGCAGGGATGCTGAGAGGATCCTGTGCACAGAGCATGCATATGCATGTCTGCATCACATGTGTGCGTCTGTATAGGTGTGAACTACATCCATGCATGTGCAAGATTCAAGTGTGCACACAAATGCAATGTGGGTAGTCTGTGCACACATGGGTGTGCGTGCAACACCTGTGCAGACAGTGCCTGTATGTGGGTGATTGTATTACGTGTGTGCTTGTATGCAACTATGGATAAACATGGGCATCCATGTGCCTGTGCCTGTGCCGAGCATGTGTATTCTGCACATGATTCCCCAAACACGTGACTGGTGAAGAGGAGAGGGAAGGCAGGCGTGTGGGGCTGGCAGGCAGGCAGGCATGCAAATAAGGCCAGGGAAGACGCCCCAGAGGCCACAGGATGCCTGGTGCACTGACCTAGGATGGACACCTTGCTGAGGAACTCCTCATACATCTTGCGCTTCCTCAATGTGCTGCCCTGTTTGGTCAAGAAGAACAGAAGAGAGGCATCAGATTCCCCCAAAGCCTCAGGCCCCAGCCCATGGCCACACCCAGCCCTCTGCCTCCTCCCACTGCCCTCCACTTCCCACCTTAAACAGAACCAGCCTGGGGAACCACGAGGATGCCAAGGAAGCCAAGTTTCCTGAACCAAACCGGAGAGGATGCTACCAAAGGAAGCACCAGGCCATGGTCAGGAGCTTCCCCCCCCCCCCATCTGACCTTGAGTTGACACCAGCCCAGAAAGTCCTAGGCCAGAGCCTCCCAGGTGAGCCACAGAAACTCTTAACCACTTTGTTACATTGTTGCCTCAAGCCACTAAATTTAAGGCAAGTTTGTTATAGCAAGAACTAATGTATTTAGCTAACTTTGATCCTACCCACTTCATAAGTCTCCCCCCACTTTTGTCTTCCTTTTCTCCTCCTCCTCTTCCCTCTCCTCCTCCTCCTCCTCCTCCTCCTCCTCCTCCTCTTTCTCCTCCTCCTCCTCCTCCTCCTCGTCTTTCTGCTACTGGAGATTAATTGAACCCAGTGCCTTGAGCTTCTACACAGATGCTCAATCATTTAAGCTATGTCCCAAATTACACTCCAGCCTTTTAAGTGGATTTTATTCTTTGCCCAGGCTGATCTCAAACTTCCCCTCCTCCTGCTTGCCTCTGTCTCTCCCAAGTAGGTGAGATTAGAGTTGTGCCTCACCACACCCTGTCTGGCTTGACATACAATCTTCTAAGGTTCATAGACAGTCAGGGAGAACACACGACCTGCCAGGGCCTTCCATCTGCTTCTGATGTCTGCGAATCATTGACACACCCCAACATCCCTGAGGATCTGCCTGTGTCCTTTTGTGGAGCTGTACCCTGCTGGCCGCTACAGGAAACAGCAGCCTGGGGCCCTGAAGCTTCTGGCTGTCAGCTTGCTAAGACCACCTCAGAAGATGGTAGGGAGTTAGGTGGGAGCCAGTGGAGGTGGCTCATGTCCTGTAATCCTATCTATTCAGGAGCCTGAGATCTGAGGATCATGATTCAAAACCAACCTGGGCAGGAAAGTCAGTGGGACTCTTATCTCCAATAAATTACGCCCCCCCCCCAAAAAAAAAGCCAGAAGTGAAGGTTTGGCTCAGTGGTAAAGCACCAACCTTAAACAAAAATGCTCTGAGTTCAATCCCCAGTACCAGCCCAAAGAAAAAGGAAGAAAGAAAAGGAGGAGTACACCAGGAGCGCGCCTCCCCCCTCCCCCCCCCCCCCCCCCCCCCGCGTGAGGTCCCTGCAGGTCAGGGGAGGGAGGCATGGCTGCAGCAGAAGAGGAAGCGCTCTCAGGACCAGACGAGGGGGCGTGACATGGATGCCTCTCCTGTAAAGCGGTGACAAAGATGCAGTGAGGTGGGGCTGGCAGGGCTTCCGGGGGCCAGCCCAGGGGCTTCTCCACAGCCGATGGTGGCAAACATTGGCCACCCCTGCCAGCCTTTGCCACCACCAACTCCCTATACCCCTCCGCATCCTGAAATACAGACTCAGGGAGCTAAGCCAAGTCACACACTCCCAGCCAGAACACTCAGCCCAGGCAAAGGGACGTACCCCGCACCCCACACCCCATACCCCACACCCATTCTCCTGTTTCCCAGGGCTTATGTAGCAACAGCTACCTGCAGACCTGAGGGAAGGACACTCCACTCCACTGGACAAGGGGAGATGAAGATGCGGAGGCTACCTGCACCCTCGAGCCTTCGTGGAATGAGATTTAAGATTCCCTGACTCCTTAGGGTGCTGTAAGACCGAGCCTCAACTCATGCTCATAGTTGTTGCTGCTGTGGATGGTCACAGTGGTGGTCATGGTGGTGGTGATGATGGTGATGGTGATGATGGTGATGGTGGAAGGAAACCAATTGAACAGTTCAGCGCACTGCATCTGACCACTAAGAATATTATTACCTGCCCCAAAGCATTCCTGTGGAGGCATCTCCTGGGAGCACATGGCATGGGATGTGGTGACAGGACTCCAGCCTCATCCCTACTCCTAACCTCAAGTTTCCTAGCAGTTTCTGGCTCTGGACCAAACACTGCTAAAAAGGCCGTCACTCCCGATTTGTGTAGCCCCAACATAATCCCTCCCCATCCTCTCCTCTTCCCAGTGAAGGGCCCAACCGGGCCACAGGACTCACAGCCCAGCAGGGTCCACAGACCACCTAAGCTAGCACTAGACCTTCAGACAGCAGCAATGTGAACACGTTCATGGAGACAGAACAAATGGGTTTCCATGGCAACTAGAAACATCACCGCGGTGCTCAGGAGGTAGAGTGAGCCGTCTGCCCATTAGGGCAGGTCAGGATGGTTGCGGCAGCAGCCCAAGCCATGGAAGAGCCCCACCAGGCATACAAAAGGTATTTCTATCAGCCACTGGTGTCCTAGGTACTCACAAGGCTGAGATCTAAAGGATCACAGTTCCAAGCCAGCTGGGGCAGAAAAGTTCATGAGACTCTTATCATCTGTAATTAACCAGCAAAAAGCCAGAAGTGGAGTTGTGGCTCAAGTGATAGAGCACTAGCCTTAAGTGAAAAGCTAAGGGACAGCATCTAGGCACTGAGTTCAAGCCTTAGTATTTGCACATGTGCACTTGTGCACGCACGCATGCGCACGCACATACGCGCGCGCGCACACACACACACACAATACTAGCACCAATGCAATGTCCTGAGATTAAACTCCAATATGAGAATATGAGGGGGTGAGAAAGAGAAGGAAAAGAAAAGGACAAGGAGGAGGGGAGGAAAGGAGGGGTGGGGAAGAGAGGGGAAGGGAGAAGAGAAAGAGGGAGAAGGAGGAGGGGGGAAGGGAGAGAGGGGAGAGGGGAAGCAAGTCAAGCACTGATGGCTCTAAGTGTAATCCTATATATTCAGTAGGCTGAGGGCTAAGGATCATGGTTTGAAACCAGTCCCAGCAGAAAAGACTGCATTTCCAACTAACCAGCAAAAAGCAGGAGTTGAAATGTGGCTCAAGTGATAAAGCACTTGGTAAAGTGGTAAAGTGAGCAAGCAAGTCTAGCAAGCATGAGGCCCTGAGTTTGAGCCCCAGTCCCTCACATAACAAAAGGAAAAGAGGAATGCTGGTCTCCTTGGGTCAGATGCTCCGGGATTGTGGGTGTGGAGTCCCCACTGGCGGGGGGATGGCCTCCTGGAGGGACCGGTCTCCCTCCTCTCCCTCCTTGATCCACTTTATTCCAGGTGGTTGCAGAGACACCCACAGTGTGATGGGCACCAGGCCAGGGGGCCCAGCCCTGTTATTTTCTTCCTGGGACATGGGAGCTGGCCTCCAGGCCTGTCCTCTATTCTTAGTGTTCAGGGATCCAAAATGAGCGGGAGCGGAAGCGCCGGCTGCCTGTGGTCTGAGCGCTTCCCTGCACATAAACGGCCACAGCCAGGAATATTCGGCATCCATGGTGGGGAGAAGCAATGGCTCAGGCCAGCCTTGGCCAGGTGTGCAGGGTGGACATAGGGGCGGGGGCGGGGGTGGGTGGGACAGGAATGGGAGTGTCTCATTGGAGGGAGGAGGCCCTCTGGCTTCCCACACAGACAGACAGATGGATGGACATGGGAGATACAGGACGGGGGTGACTGGCACCTCCTGCAGGACCATGTTTGTCCCCTCTGGGACTTGAGCCCAGGGTGACCTGGAGCCCTGGCATGGGGCAGAAGAATGTGTGAGTGCCACATGAAGGAGCTGGCACCGTGGGGGAGAGGTGGGGTAGACTGACTTGGGGAACAGGCAAGGATTTGAGTCCCAGTCTCTGGGCCTCAGCCCCAGGGGCTGCCCTGAACCACCCTGAGGTTTCTGCCTGCAGGGCCAGGGAGCTGGGTTGACCATGAAGGGAGACCCAAGACCAGTGCCACCAGCCTCAGAACCTTCCAGAATGCTTTGCTCCACAGCCTGCTCTCTGCCCTACCATGGCTCATTCTAGTTAAGACTGTTTTTATTTGCCAGTCCTGGGCTTGAACTCAGGGCCTGGGCAGCTCTTTCTGTATATGTGGTACTGAGGAGTCAAACCCAGGGCTTCATGCATCTGAGGAATGTGAGCCACATTCCCAGCCCCTAAGACATATCAAGTCAGCTTAAACACCTCACTGTGGCTCTGGGTCATAGGTGCACCAGCCCTAGTGGAGGCTGCTGGTCCTCGGAACAGAGCTCTCCAGACCCTCTAGTCTAAGCCTTTACCCTTCCCTATCTGTCATGGCTTCCTTGCTGGCCCACAGCATTCCAGGGAGCTCCTACCTCCTGGCCTTTGCACTTGCTTCTTCTGAACAGTCTTTTGGCCCAGGCTTCCTGTCCCAGGACACTGCCCCAATGTAGCCTCGTGGGGGGAAGGCAACTTCTCTCTCTCTCTCTCTCTCTCTCTTTCTCTCTCTCTCTTTCTCTCTCCCTCACCCCACTCTCTCTTTCTTGTTGGTTGGTCATTGGGGCTTGAATTCAGGCCTGGGTGCTATCCCTGAGCTCTTTTTGCTCAAGGCTAGTGTTCTACCACTTGGAGCCACAGTTCCACTTCAGGTTTTCTGGTGGTTAAGTGAAAATAAGAGTCTCAAGGACTTTCCTGCTCAGGCTGGCTTTGAACTACAATCCTCAGATCTCAACCTTCTGACTAGCTAGGATTACAGGTGTGAGCCTGTAATAATAATAAGACAGAAGCCCCTCCCTGCCCTCGGCAGGGAATAGTCCCTGTCTGATTAGAGGTCTGTGTTTATTAACCACCTTGGATTTCCAACTGGACCTATATCAGCACCCTGTGGGCAGCATGAAGGGTGAGTAAGGAAGCGTCCTTCAGAACCACCCATGAACACCTGCTGCATGGCCATATCCGCCCTAACTAGCCCTGGCACAGTGTACTCCATGCATTTCTGCCTCACTACTTTGGTGGGGCTTTTTTTTTTTTTTTTGTCGGTCATGGGTCTTGAACTCTGGGCCCAGGCACTGTCCCTCAGCTCTTCAGCTCAAGGCTAGCACTCTACCACTTGAGCCACAGCACCACTTCTAGTTTTCTGGTGGTTTATTGAAGAGTCTCATAGACTTTCCTGTCTGGGCTGGCTTTGAACTGTGATCCTCAGATCTCAGCCTCCTGAGTAGCTAGGATTACAGGCCTGAGCCACTGGCACTAGGCTGTGAGTTTCATTTTTAAAGCTACCTCATGATCCAAGATAGCAGCTGGAGCTCCAGGCATTACAATCATGTTCCAGACAGTCAGCAGGAGAGAGGGAAAGCAAAGCAAAAAAGCAAAAAGGACTTCCCAGACCTTCTAACTGTCTTCTTTCTGGAACCCTCCCAATATTTTCTCATTCAGCTCCTTGTGTCAGGGAGGATAAGAAATGTCTTCACCTTCTATCAGGGTTCCTTTGGGGTGCGCCTGGCCAAGAGGGGACGGGGCGCCAGACTCAGCTGCTGCCTTTTCTTCCTGGCTCAGTTTCCCCGGCCAGGGTGTCACTCACCATGAGAATGCGCCGGTAGCTGTCGCGGTCAATGCCCCAGAGCTTGAGGTCGGTCTTGGCTTTCACCGTGGCAGCTCTGGGGGTGCCATAGATGAGTGCGAGTTCCCCGAAACTGCCGCCTTCACTGATATTAGTCACCCACTCCCCGTTCACATACACCTGCAGGGGACACGGGGGACAAAGAAAGGAATGGCATGGCTATGTGTATGAGCTCTCTCTCTCTCTCTCTCTCTCTCTCTCTCTGTGCCAGTTGTGGGTCTTGAACTCAGGTTCTCAAACTCTCACTCAACTTTCTTACTCAAGGCCAGCACTCAACCACTTGAGCCATGCCTCCAGCCTGGCTTTTTGCTAGTTAATTAGAGATGGGAGTCTCTGAGGACTTCTCTGCCCAGACTGGTCCCAAATTGTGATCCTCTAAGATCAGCCTCTTCAGTAGCTACAGTTACAGGCGTGAGCCACCAGTGTCTGGTCTGATCTCTCTTGAGATACCAGCACAGACTATGTCCCCTGCTGAGTCCCCACAGACCTCCCTGCCTGGGAGGTGGCCTCAGACTGGCAGGGACTGTGGTGGGCCATCTACTGATCTGGTCAGAGCCACGGCGGTCAGCAGAACCAGATAGAAGCACCCTGGGGCCTGACCTGCAGCCCGGGGTGTCCCACCTCCCTGCCAGATCTCTGATTCAATACATTGCTCATCAACAGACTCTGAATACTAACCTGTCACCATGCATGGGCTGACAGGCTAGGTGGACACGCTGCCCCTGCCCTTTCCAAGCAAGGGTCCCCAGTGTGTCCCCCACACGCTATCACACACTGCCCAGCCCCCTGGGAGCACCAGTGTGCGCAGTCCCCCGTGCCTACCCCACTTCCATCATCCCTCCATGTACGGCACCAAAGCCCTTTGGCTTGGAGCCTGAATGGAACCCCTCGGCCGTGCACGGCTGCCAAGCTGTGCCAAGAAGGAGTCGGGACAAGGTTCTTTTCAGCCTGGCACGCACGCTGTGCATGTCCGGCAAGAATGGTACGGACTGTTCATTCTGCTCTTCACTGTGCACCCCGGTTACTCCCCATCACCACAATGGCTCCCTTTTCCCCCCGCAGCGTGTCAATGAGCGCACACACGACTTCCCCAAGCAAGAATGGGTGTGTGCAGGGAGAATGGACGGCGCTGAATCACCGAGGGATTCTTCTCGAAATCAATGACTCATTATGATCTGACAATAACCGGAGCACAGACCTTTCTGTCTGCAGAGCCCCACGGGTGGCCATGGGCAATCCCACGGTTAATCAGGAGATGGCTACACCCTGAAAGTGGGGAGAGGGAGTGTGTGTGTGGCCCTGGCTGGGTCTGCAGCCTCCTGCCTGGCCTTGCGGGTGCCCCACTTCCTAAGGAGGGGTCCAGAAACTTGAGGGGGAACCCACATGGGCCCTGGGGAAATCTGAAGACAGATTCCTCCTGATTGCTACACCGGGCAGAGAGCTGGGCAGTGGAGGCCCGTGGTGAGAGAAGCAGCAATGCTGGCATTCTAGGGGTGAATTTGGGGAGCCCACAGGCAGCCCTAGGGACTCTGCATCTTGTTTCCACAAAGGGGACTCAGAGCCTGGGGCAGGGCAATGATCATAGGGTACCTGCAGCCTCCTCTCCCCGCTGAGCTGGCACAGCTCTCCTCAAAGACATATACCTTGAACATGTAAGCCGGGTGTCTGGAACCCTTGCTACTCAGGAGGCTGAGATCAGAGGATCATGGTTCCAAGCCAGGAAAGTCCATGAGATTCTTCTCTCCAATTGACCACCAGAAAACCAGAAGTGGAGCCGTGGCTCCAAGTGGTTGAGTACTAGCTTTGAGCAAAAAAGAGCTCAGGGGGGCTGGGAAGGTGGCTCAGTGGTAGAGTGCTTGCCTTGCATGCATGAGGCCCTGGGTTCAATTCCTCAGCACCACATAAGCAGAAAAAGCCGGAAGTGGGGCTGACGCTCAAATGGTAGAGTGCTAGCCTTCAGCTGAAGAGCTGAGGGACAGTGCCCAGGCCCAGAGTTCAGGCCCCATGACCAATAAAAAAAAAAAACGCTCAGGGACAGCACCCAGGCCTTGAGTTTAAGCCCTATGACTAACAAAAAAAGTTTAACACATAAATCTGAGCACAGGAGTGCAGGTACGTGCACAGACGTGTGAATACGCATGAGTGTGACTACCAAGGTGAGCACATGGAGATGAGTGTGCACATGGAGGTGGAAATGCACACGAATATACATGACAAGGTGCATGCATGTGTGTAAATGAATGTACAAGGTGTGTATGAATGTGAGCATGCAGATGCATTCTGTGCAAGCATGTGTGTGCAAGCATGACTGGAAAATGAACATGACGTGCAGCTGTGTATGACTGTACATGTGGGCATGAAAACACGTGTGTGTGTGACCATATGTAAGTGTGTGTAAATGCGAGCATGCCAGTGTTGTGCAAACAGCTGTGTGCATGTGTGTGCAAATGTGCTTGTGAAAATGCAAACATGGCTGTGTGAAAGTGAACATGTAGGTGTGCATGTGTGTGTGTGTGAGAGAGAGAGAGAGAGCAGACATTAGCCCATGTGCACTGCCACTCCTTGTGGGTGCCCCTCCCCCGTGCCACCCTCCCCCACTTGGCTCATCCACCCTGGGCCTGGGCTGCTCTGCCCTGGTTTGTTGGGTGCCGCAGCCCTGGGGCGCCATTCTCTGTGGTATCCCAGGGCCACCTTTGCTCTGCTTCGCTGGCTGCGGTTGAATGCCAGTCTCTAGAGGTTGCTCTCCCCCACCACCCACCCCATGCTTTAGCCCTTGTGGGTGACCCTGTGCCAAGTGCCAAGTCAGGAGTGTGGGCGGGCTCTGGGGTCACAAATCTGAGGGTGGCATGGCCTCAACCCCAGAGCCCTGCCAGGGGGCAGCCCTGGTGAGAGCCACCGGCCGGGAGCCCAGGTGGCCGAGCCAGTCTCTTTTCAGGGTGCAGGGCCAGGAAACCCCAGCCCCAGCACAGTACACGAGGTCCCCCAGAACAAAACACAGGGTGGCTGGATGTGTCCTGTCCAGCTAGTGTGGCAGCCATACTTTCCTCTTTCCTGAGGCCACACATTGTCTCTGCATGAGCAAGGGCAGCTAGGACCTGCTGCAGGAAGCCCCCTCCTCACTGGGAAGCCCCCCAGCCTCCCACGGCCCCCCAAAGGCATTAGAGGAAAGCATTGTGCATCCAGGGACCGGCCAGCGCCACCCTGGAGGACAAAGGGGCCATCTTTCTCAGGACACTGTGCTCTGTCTCTGCTCCCGGCACAGCGCGGACCCCACCCAGCTGGTACGCAAAGGGACTTCTCTTGTGTTGGTGCTTTTTTATTATTTTTTTTCCTTCTTCTTTAGAAAGAAAAATAGCAGGAGACCCCACTGGGCTGCATTATGCTCCCCAAGGCGTGGCCGTGTGTCCTGTGGACACAGCATCTGTGGGCTGTGTGCGTGCCTCTGTGTGTGTGTGTGTGTGCATGAGCATACATGCTTGTGTGCGCACGCCAATCCTGGGACTTGAACTCTTTTCTTGGATGCTGTCCTTGAGCTTTTTTTTTCTCTCTCTAGGCTGGTGCTCTTATCATTTGAGCCCCAGTTCTACTTCCAACTTTTTGCTACTTAATTGGAGAAAACAAAGAGTCTCATGGAATTTCCTGCCTGGGCTGGCTTTGAACCACGATTCTCCTATCTCAGCCTCCTGAGTAGTTAGGATTACAGGCGTGAGCCACAATGCCTGGCTCCACCATGCTTTCTTCAGTCACCTACCCTATTTCCCCTGCTGCTGTGGGCACTCCTGGCTCCCTGTGCCTTTCAACTACCAACCAGCACTGAGATGGGCCACAGGCAAACTGACAAACATGTCCACCAAGGCCTCAGAGAAAATGGAAGGTGATGTCCAGAGGAGGGGAGTTCCACTGAGGACTTTCCCATGGATGTGAACTTGAGCCAGTCATGAGCAGAGAATGCCCAGAGACACACACACACACACACACACACACACACGCACACACACACACACACACACACACACACACACACACGAATGCTCAAGGTGGAAGGATAGCCGTGCCAAGATCCTGAGGCAAAACTGGATCAGGAAGGGAACTGCTCTGCCCACAGGGCTGGAGATGCATTAGAGTTAAGACTGATCAAAGGAAGGGTTTGGCTGCGAATTCCAGAAGCTACAGGAAGCCCCCAGTGCTGGGTTCATTCCCAGAGGGAACAGTCCTGTCTCCCTACACAGAGATGCTGGCTGGGGACAGCCGGAGAAAGGCTGGATGAGAAAGAGGCTGTGCCACCTGAGGGCCCGCAGCACCCCACCCTTCACAGACTCCAGAGAGGAAGCGGCCATGCATACCCGCTTCCCAACATGGGAAAGCGGAGGCAAGAAAAGGGTGAGTTCAGGACCAGCTGGGTCTGCATAGTGAAACTCCACTCAAACAGAAAAAAGAAAAGAAACAGGCTCCAGGCCCCACCTGGACCTGGGGTCAACAATCTGTATGTTATTGGGGTTTCATCTGCAGTGGGGTGGCTCTAGACTGGGTTACCCTTAGATGAGGGCAAATATTCTTGAGAGGCTCCAAGTCTTCCAGAACAATCTCCCCAGCCAGTACCTTGGGCCATGGCCACCCAGTGTTCAATAAATGACTAAGTAAAACGTAACACCCCACAAGCAGAGTCTCCACACCCCACAATCACTGTCAGTCCATCCCAAGGCAGAAGCTGTGTGCCCATGTGACCACTGACAGATGGATGGCAAACAAATGAAAGGTAATCTAGGCACACAGCAGAATATTACTCAGCCTTGAACAGGAAGGACATTCTAACTTGAGGGTCCCATACTGAGTAAGAAAATCCAAATGCAGAAGGATACTTTACGTGAGTCCACCACCGCCCTCCTGTCAAGAGAAGTCAGATTCGTAGAAACATCAACATTTGATGGGGACAAAGTTTCAATCCGGGATGGTGAGAACATTTTTGTAGACAGCTACCTAACACTGAACTGTGCCCCTAATAGTAATAAAAATTCATGTTATTTAAATTTACACACACACACACACACACACACACGCAACGAACATTCCCCAGTGGGAGCCACAGAGGTGCCAGGGCAAGGGCCTTCTCCCTGCCTTTGAAAGGTAAAACCCACTTTTCTTCCAAAGCCAGAGAAAAGTCTGGAGCGTACAGACCCCAAAGACCATGGAAATCTGGAAAGGAACATAGAGCTAGGAGCCCCAACCCAACAAGTAGCCCAGAACTACTAGAGATGGATCAGATCTCAGGGAGGCACAAGATGGAACTGTATACCCCCTGAACCTGTATCACCAATGGCAGGGCTTAGATCAGTGGCTCATACCTGTAATCCCAGCTAGTAAGGAGGATGAAAAGTCAAGGCCAGTCTAGGCAAAAAAATGAACACGACTTCCCTATCTCAACAAATAAACTCAGATACAATGGTGTACATCTGTAATGTCAGCTCAGAGGGAGGCTTGCGAGGAACAATCAAAGCTTAGACTGACTCTGGGGGCAAAAATGTGAGGACCTATTTGGAAAAACAATAAAACAAAAATAAAGGGGTGCTAGGGAGTATGGCTCAAGTGGGAGGCTTCAAAATCCTAGTACCAGTGGCTTACATCTGTCATCCTAACTACCAGGGAGGCTGAGATCTAAGGATCACAGTTCAAAGCCAGCCCAGGCAGTAAAGTCTAGGATACTCCAATTAACTACTTAAAAAGCCAGAAGTGAAGCTATGGCTCAAGTGGTAGAGTGCTAGCCTTGAGTGAAAAAGCTAGGGACTGCACCTGGACCCTGAGTTCAATCCCCATTACACACACACACACACACACACACACACACACACACACACACACACACCCATAGCCCAGTGCTGAAAAAACATAGATATATATTTTAAAAAGCAGTAGAGTGTCCTTTTAAGTAGAAATGCTGTGTTCCATGAATAAAATAAATTGGAAGTTATTTTTATACTTAGAAAATGGATTATAGCTCTTGGCAACACACACACACACACACACACACACACACACACACACACACACACACACGCTAGCAGCCCCTCCCATCCCTGTCTCTGTAAAAATAATAATAATAATTTAAACCAAACCAGTGCATCTGGAACTTGGTGGGGAAGGAGGGTCCTGTCCACCCTGGGGCTGGGGATTCAGGACCCCAGCCCACCTCTCCGGAGCATCTCCAGGCAGATGGAGGGGCCTGGCACGTCAGCCCCAGAGCAGTCATTTACAGGGCTGCATAAACAAACTTAGAGGAAGCAGGGCTTCAGGCTGGCCCCTGCGGCTCTTCAGAGCTGTAATGACAGTAATTATGGTCATCTCAGCCCGTAACTCAGCCCAGCTCCCCAGCTGGCCAACCCCTCACCAACTCCTCACAGGCACCTTTCCAGGGCCCTGCGTGGTTTTCCTGCACACCAGATGCCCCCTCCAGCACAGCCTGCCTATCCCACAGGCACTCCCCTTCCTGTCCTGTCCTGTCCTGTCCTGTCCTGTCCCACTGGAAAGTCTGGCCACAGCCATCAAAGTGATGGGCAAAGAGGCTGGCCTGCCGGCCCACTCACAGGCTGGCCCAGCCATCATAGACTTGTGCCATCTGGTCTCTGGGTGATTCCAGTGCCAGGCCGTAACCACAAACCAGGCACCTACCCATGGTGCCCCCACATCCAGGCTCTGGCCAGGTGAGTCCAGAGAGAACCTTGAAGCTGCCTTTGACCTTGAACTTCCAGGCTGAGAGGGGGACCTACAGAGAGGTGGAAAGGAAAAGGGAGGGCTGGACATGTCCAAATGGTGTATTTGGGGTACGCTAATCAGGGGAAGGTGAGCTTGCTTTTTCCTTGACAAGAGTTGTCTTCTGGGAACTGGTGGATCACACCTATAATCCTAGCTAGTCAAAGAGGCTGAGATCTGAGGATCACAGTTCAAAGCCAGGCAAGAAAGTCCATGAGATTCTTTTTTGTTGTTGGTGGTGGTCATGGGGCTTGAACTCTGGGTCTGGGCACTGTCCCTGAGCTCTTCAGCTCAAGGCGAGCACTCTACCACTTGAGCCATAGTGCCACTTCCAGTTTTCTGGTGGCTTATTGGAGATGAGTCTCATGGAGTTTCTTGCCTGGGTTCGCTTTGAACCATGATCCTCAGATCTCAGCCTCCTGAGTAACTAGGATTACAGGTATGGGTCACTAGCGCTCGGCTATGAGATTCTTATCTCCAGTAATTTACTCAGAAAATGCCACAAGTGGCAATATGGCTCAAGTGGTAGAACTCTCGCCTTGAGCATAGAGCACCCAGGCCCTGAGTTCAAGCCCCAGGACTGGGAAAAAAATTGTTTTCTGCGTTCCTTGGTCTGCAGGAATCCAGCTCTGAGAGAGACAGAGACAGAGAAACAAAGAGACAGAGTCACAGAGACAGAGACAGAGAAAGGAGAGACTGAGAGATAGTCAGAGAAACAGAGACAGAAAGAGAGATAGAGAGCATGCAAGCCAGGCAACCTCCTGGATGGTCTCCAGGCCTAAGGCAAGGGAGCCTGGATGCTGTCCCTGGGAAAGGGGTGGAAAGGGGCTCCTGCTGGGGTGAGTTGGGGGATCTGGGAAAATTCAATCCCTTCCTCTCAGTGATCCTCAGCCCAGGACAACACAGGAACAAGACAGGTTTACTTCCTGTCACTTCTGCAGCCCAGGTGTTGGCTGGTCTGATGGGGGGTGGGGGAACTACACTGGGGCCCCAGACAGGTAAGGGGTAGAGGTGGAGGGCTGCCCTCAATGGGGTAAGCTGCAAGTGGAAGGGGTCCTGGCATGTCCAGGACGGCAAGAGGCAGCCCTAAGGAAGGCGAAATAGTCTAAGAAGGCCACATCAGATCTTTGACCCCTGTATCAGGTGAGGCTGTAGGTGGTCCTCATCCAGATTTCCTCTGTGATAATACTTCTTCCTCCTTCCTTCCTTCCTTCCTTCCTTCCTTCCTTCCTTCCTTCCTTCCTTCCTTCCTTCCTTCCTTCCTTCATTTATTTATTGTCGTTGTGGGGCTTGAACTCTGGGCCCGGGTGCTGTCCCTCAGTACTTCAGCTCAAAGCAAGTACTCTACCACTTAAGCCACAATACCACTTCCAGTTTTCTGGTAGTTAACTGGAAAAAAAAAAAAAAAAGAGTCTCAGGGATGTTCCTGCCTGGGCTGGCTTTGAACCTCAATCCTCAAATCTCAGCCTCCTGAGTAGGCGTGAGCCACTGGCACCCAGCTCTTCCTCTTCTTTTCTTTCTTCTTTTTCCTTCTTTTCTTTTTTGCCAATACCAGAGTTTGAACTCAGAATCTTGAGCTTACTGGACTGGTGCTCTACCATTTGGGCTACACCTCCAGCCTGGCTTTTTGGGCTTCATTGGAGATAAGAGGCTCACGGGCTTTTGGGCCCACCTTGGCCTCCAGCTTTGATCTTCAGATCTCAGCCTTCTGATTATCTAGTCTTACAGGCGTGAGCCACTGGTGTCCAACTGAGGTGTTGGTGTCTAACCAAACTCAACCCAGTGTCACCTCATTCCTCCTTACCCTTTCCCCTCATGGCAGCCTTTAGGCAGCCTTTACCCCAGGGGGTCTTTAGCTCTTGCCTCAGTTTCCCTGTTTGGGGAGAGAAGAGCTGCCAGATCCCAGCAGTGGGGTAGAGGGGCTGGGCTGGAGCTGAGACAGAGGGCCAGGGTTGTGACAAAGCGGGTGCTCACGGCAGGACGGCAGGGTGACTCACTTCCTGTGCCACAGCTCCGGAAGGAGATGGCTCTGTGAGATTCCCAGAAACCTCAGGCAGGCAAGGGACACAGCCCTGCCACTGAGGAAATGACAAAACGCCCTGTCCAGACACAACCCAGCTGGATGGAGGCTTGGGAGCCAACGCCAAGCCTGAAATAGCCTATACAGGGCAGCCAGGCATGGCATGGCCTGGACACTACACAGGGGCTACCTAGAGCAGGGTGGGGCCCCTCAGCAGAAGGCACCAAGTCTGTGGGGCAAAAGAGGGCATGGTAGAGCTCAGGGGCAATGGGCCCATGTCTGGAGCCTCAGGGAAGAGGAGAGACTCGGTCCCTGGCCCCAGGTGGCTTCCACTCTGCCACAGACAAACTTTAAAGAAATGGTCACAGGCTAGGCACTAGTGGCTCACCTCTGTAATCCTAGCTACTCAGGAGGCTGAGATCTAAGGATCAGAGTTCAAAGCCAGCCTGGGGAAGTAAAGTCTATAAGAACCCTATCTCCAATTAACCAGCCAAAAGCCAGAAGCAGTGCTGTGGCTCACAAGGTAGAGCACCAACCTTGAGAAAAAAGCTAAAGGACAGTGCCCAGACCATAGTACTGGTGTGCATACACCTGTGCATATACACACACACACACACAAACACACACATCAATCATAAGATAGGGTGTCTTGGGGCTGGGAATATGGCTTAGAGGTAGAGTGCTTGCCTAGCATGCATGAAGCCCTGGGTTCGATTCCTCAGTACCACATAAACAGAAAAAGCCGGAAGTGGCACTGTGGCTCAAGTGGTAGAGCGCTAACCTTGAGCAAAAAGCTCAAGGACAGTGCTCAGGCCTTGAGTTCAAGCCCTAGACTGGCAAAAAAAAAAAAAAAAAAAAAAGATAAGGTGTCTAATCCTTTTGATTTGGAGGCAGCAAAGAACCCAGTGACAGTGGGTGCTGGCCGTGGTACCATCCTAGGTGTGCTTGCAGCTGAAATGTCCTTTTGTTGATGAGGTCTGGGGCTCAGCAGGAGAGAGTCCACCCTGTAGGTTCAAGGGTGTGGATCTAGCCCCCAAAAGAAGATACTAGGAATGTAAGTCTCTGGTGTGTGAAAACCTGGTCTTCAATAGTGAGCAATCTTCAGGGTGTGGAAGAACCATTTCCCCATTTCAATACTCACATCTGCTTCTCCCTGGTCAATGACGTAGAAGTTATCTCCTTCATTCCCTGGAACCAAAACCAAAGAAGAAAGGGCAGACATGGTAAGACACACTGAATTGCACTGTTCTTGTTTTTCCTCTCAACTACCTCTTTCATTTTTTTGGCTGGTACTGAGATGTATATGAGGCCACTGAGGACCTCATGCTCTCGCTTGACTTTTGTGCTTTAGGCTAGTGCTCTACCATCTGAACCACAGCTCCACTTCCAGCTTTTGGGGTAGTTAATTGACCAGGCTGGCTTGGAATCTTGATCCTCAGATCTCAGCCTCCTGAGTAGCTAGGATTACAGGCATGAGCTCTCCTGGCTTGCTTCTTGAGACAGGGATCTTGCTAATTTCACTTCTTTTTTTTTCTGTTTTATTTTTCATGATAAGAACATTTATGGAAACAGTGGGTTAAAGCTGAGGTTCATTCGTTTCGTCAGTGGACATTCTCATGAACATACCCATATGCATTTTTTTCTGGTCTCCCTCACTCTCTCACCTTTTTTCTTTCTTTTCTTTTGTGCCAGTCCTGGGATTTGAACTCAGGACCTCTAGGCACTGTCCCTGAGCTTCTTTTGCTCAAGGCTAGCACTACCACTTGATTCACAAGCACTACTGGGTTTTTGGGGGGTAGTTTAGTCTCAACAGGCTCTCCTGCCTGGGCTGGCTTCGAACTTGAATCCTCAGATCCAAGCCTCTGAGGAGCTAGGATTACAGATATGAGCCACTACTGCCCAGTTGGTGATATGTATTTCTAAGGCACTGGCTCTGAACATACCTTGCTGTATGACAGTCTCTCCGGCAATGTGCGTGACTGGAAACATGGCATCAAATATGTCACTGAAAAATAAAATACACCACATTGAGGGATGCAGCAACACTGGGTGGCATAAATCCTGCTGCTTTGGCACTCAGTGCAGAGCCAGTGGCTCACACCAGTAATTCTAAATTACTCAAGAGGCTAAGTTCTAAAGGATCATGGTTCAAGGCCAGCTTAGGCAGAAAAATCCACAAGAATTTATCTCCAATTAACCAGCAAAATACTGGATTGGAGACATGGCTCCTGCCAACCACTTGACATTTCACCTTTTTGTTTGTTTGTTTTTGGCAGTACTGGGTTGGAACTCAGGGCCTCACACTTGCAGACATAAAAACACTTGAGACATGCCTTCAGCTGTTTTTGCTTTTCTAGTTATTTTTGAGATTGAGTCTTGTGTTTATGTTCAGGCCATCCTGGACTGAAATCCTATTTATGTTCCCCAAGTAGCTAAGATGACAGACTAGGGCTACCACAGCTAGCAGTTGGCTACGATAGGGTCTCATGTTTTTGTCTGGGCTAACTTGGATTGTAATCCTCCTATTTATGCTTCCTAAGTAGTTGAAATGACAAGCAGGTACCATGACACATGTTATTGTTGTTGAGATAGTAACTTTTTACCTGGGGTTGGCTTTCAATTGCCATCTTCTCAGTCTTATCTCTTGAGTAGCTGGGACTACAGTCATGAGCCACCATAGCCAACCAAGTCCAGGTCTTGCTAAACTAAAGTCTTCGGGCAAAGGAGAAAATGCACTCATGCCCTGCTCTCCAGAGACCAAGGCTATAAGATGCCCTGTCCATCTCTGAGCAGACAGGTTCAGCTTGTTAGAAAAGCAGGATCACATTCTATGCACTTATTTGGCCTCCACTTCAAAAAGCCAGAGCCACTATCATTGATGGCTCATGCCTGTAATCCTAACTATTTAGGAGGCTGAGCTCTAAGATTCATGGTTCAAATCCAGCCTGGGAAAGAAAATCTGTGAGACTCTTATCTCTAATTAATGACTGAAAGCTGAAAGTGGAGCTGTGGCTCAAGTGGTAGAGTGCTAGACTTGAGCAAGAAGCTCAGGGACAGTGCCTAGACCCCAGAGTTCAAGCTCTAGTATTGGGGCGGGGGGCGGGGGGGAGGGAAAGACCAGGTGCCGGTGGCTCACGCTTGTACTCCTAGCTACTCAGGAGGCTGAGATCTGAGGATCAAGGTTCAAAGCCAGCCTGCCTGAGCAGGAAAGCCTGAAGTGATGCTGTGGCTCAAGTAATCGAGCCCTTGCCTTGAGCTGAAGAGCTGAGGATCAGAGCCCAGTCCCAGAGTTCAAGCCCCATGACCGACCATGCAAGGGAGAGGGGGAATCCAGAGCCACAATAGATGACAAGCATTTCTCTTGTGGGTGAATATAATCCTACTGGACTCATCTTTCTTTCTTTCTTTCTTTTTCTTTTCATAGGAGTGTTCTACATTTTGGATGCAGGAATGGAGGCTTGGGGGGGGGGGGTGGAGGGGGAGTCAGCGCCTGCACACAGAGAACACAGAACCCCTAAAACACATGCATCCACCAAGCCATCCAGGCTGGTGAGGCCATGGCAGGATCTGTGCCAACCCAGCAGCCTGGCCATTTAATTATTCTAGACATGTGTGAAATGGGCCTTGCAAACAGATGTTCAGGGCCTGAGGAAGGGGTGCGCTGGCAGAGGCAGCGGAGACCATGGGGGAGGCCAGGTGGGCCTTGGGTGGATTGCCGATCCTGTTCTCAGAGCCCTCATCTGGCCAGGACTGTCAGGAAAACATGGTCAGATACATAGTGTCAGAGTAGGCTGGGCATGGTGGCTCACTCCTGTATTCCCAGCTACTGAAGGAGGGAGAGATCAAAAGGAATTTGATTCAATGCCAGCAGGGGCACAAGTCAGCAAGATTTCCCCCATTTCAACCAATAAAAGCTGGGCGTGGTGGTCCACACTTACCACCCTAGCTACGTGGGAGACATAAGTAAGAGGACCACTGTCCAGCCTAGCCCTGGGCATCAAGGCAAGACCTATCTCAAAAATAACTTAAAGCTGGGTGCCAGTGGCTCACACCTGTAATCCTAGCTACTCAGGAGGCTCAGATCTGAGGATTGCAGTTCAAAGTCAGTCCAGGCAGGAAAGTCTGTGAGACTCTTATCCACCAGAAAACCGGAAATGGCACTGGGACTCAGTAGAGCACTCAGTAGAGTGCTCGCCTTGAGCGAAAGGGTTCAGGGACAGCATCCAGGCCCTGAGTTCAAGCCTCAAACCACCACCACCAAAACAAAAAACAAACAATTTTAAAACACAAAAGGACTGGGCATGTGGCTCTTCCACAGAGAAGCTGTGAAGAACTGGAATCAAAGGGTAGGAATGCTAGAGACCCCACCCAGAGTACCACACTGGGAACTGCAAGCATAGCTTCTTTCCCACCTTGACAATTCATGAAGATAATTCACGTCCCAGAGTGAGTGTGCACACCTTTAATCTTAGCTACTTCGGAGGTAAAGATAGGAGTACTGAATTCCAAGCCAGCTTAGGCAAAATGTTAGTACAAAATGCTATCTCAAAAACAAACTAAAAGCTAAAGGTCTGGGGACCTGACTCAAGCGGTAAAGTGTTTGCCTCACCAAGCTCAGGCCTTGAGTTCAAATCCCACTAATGACCCCAAAAAGATTCTCAGAAACCTATGTAGGAGGGAGTGGGTCGAAGAACTGAGTCTCAGAGGAACTTGAAAATGCTCATTGGCTTTGGAAAGTTCTGAGCCACACTTTAAGTGAACACAAAATCAATGATCCAGAGAGCCCTGAAACCCTGGATCCAGAGTCCACAAAAAAAAAAAAAAATATATATATATATATATATTTTGGGTCCAGTCGTGGGGCCTGAACTCTGGGCCTGGGCGCTGTCCCTCAGCTCTTCAGCTCAAGGCTAGCACTCTACCACTTGAGCCACAGCGCTACTTCTGGCTTTTTTCTTTTTGTTTATGTGGTGCTGAGGAATCGAACCCAGGGCCTCATGCATGCAAGGCAAGCACTCTACCACTGAGCCACCTTCCCAGCCCTAGAGTCCACAAAATATTTTTTTTTTTTTTATATTTTTATTTTTTGGGCTGGTCATGGGGCCTGAACTCTGGGCCTGGGCGCTGTCCCTCAGCTCTTCAGCTCAAGGCTAGCGCTCTACCACTTGAGCCACAGCGCCACTTCTGGCTTTTTTCTTTTTGCTTATGTGGTGCTGAGGAATTGAACCCAGGGTCTCATGCATGCAAGGCAAGCACTCTACTACTGAGCCACCTTCCCAGCCCCTAAATAAGTAATTCTTAAAATACTGGCTATTGCCTTTGTGTTTAAAAAAATGTTTCTTGGCTGGGCATGGTGGTAACACACCTATAATCCCAGCTAAGCTGGTGACTGAGATCAGGAGGATTATGGTCTAAGGCCTGTCCTAGGCAAAACAGGAGATCCTATGTGAGAAATAATTAAAGCATAAAGAGCTGAGGATGAGGTTCAAGAGATGAGTGCCTCCTTTGCAGACATGAGGCCTTGAGTTCAAGTCCCGGAACAGCCACACACAGAAAAGAAAAATTAGAAACTCATAAATGCTGTCTGTTTTTTTTTTCTGTGTAAGACACGCCTTTTGAGTTCCACTTCCTAACTCCAGTAACATCTTGGTTTTGGTTCTTCTCAGGACAAGGAGGGCAGGTCCCCAGGAGGGAGCTGTGGGCAGGTCCCTGGCCAGCCCCCCAAGCATCCGTTCCCTGGCAAGGTTATCTTTTGGCCACAGGGTCCTTGGTCCATCTGTAGGAACCATCCAACTTGCTTTTCCTCAAAACCAGAAAATAAGAGCCCTTAGAAGGAACATATCTGTAAGAAATTATTTAGCCAGGCATGATGGGTTACTGCCTGTTATCCTAACTACATGGGACTCTGAGAGCCAGAGGATTGTGGTGGCAGACCAGCCATGGCAGAAATTTTTAGAGACCCCATCACAACAGAAAGAAGATGGACGTTACAACTCACCTCTCCATCATGCCAGCTATATCAGGGAGAAAATAAAATAAAAACAAGGAGGAAGGCAGGAGGTGGCTCCGTGGCACAGTGCTTGCCTCACATGCATGAGGCCCTGGGTTTGATTCCTCAGTACCACATAAGCAGAAAAAGCCAGAAGTGGCACTGTGGCTCAAGTGGTAGAGTACTACCCTTGAGTTGAAAAGCTGAGGGACAGCGCCCAGGCCCAGAGTTCAAGCCCCACAACTGACCAAAAAAAAAAAATGCAATTCCATCTTTGCTTGAAAAATACTAATAATCAGCGAGGCGCTGGTGGCTTACACCTGTAATCCTAGCTACTCAGGAGGTTGAGATCTGAGGATCTTGGTTCAAAGCCAGCCTGGGCAGGAATGTCCATGAGACTCTTATCTCCAATAAATCACTCAGAAAACCCTGAAGTGGCACTGTGGCTCAAGTGGCAGAGCTCTAGCCTTGAGCTGAAGAGCTGGAGGACAGTGCCCAGGCACAGAGTTCAAGCCCCATGACTGACAAAAACAAAACAAAATAAAACAAAAACCTAATAATCTCAATACATAATGGTAAAATATTTCCAAAAATGCCCTAGGTAATCCAAAAGACTCCATGCTCTTGGGCCTCAAACAGGGCTCCACCCTCCAGGCACAGGGTATGTGGTGCAGCCTCCCACACCCCAGTCTGGGGTTGTTACTTCCCAAATGCATCCACAGAGAAACTGGATTATTTGCTCTTTATCATTTGACCTTTAGCATTCACATCTGAGGAGCTTTTGCAATTCTATTCTATTCTCCTCCCAGGCATAGGAAAATGTCCTGTCCCCCCCCCCCCCCAAGCTTCCATCATCCACCTGCCCCTGCCAGAAAGATGCTACAAAGTTTCTGCAATCACAAACTCAAGCATGACAAACATCTCAGATGTCCCTAAGCCAGACAGACAGGCACTAGGTACAACAGTGCCCCCATATTGGAGACAAGGCATTGCTTGACCAAGGGGTTGCTCTTTTC